AGGCGATGGACTAGTAACAGAACTTTCTGGAAGAGCATTTATTTGCTCGTTTTCTCCCAGGATGCTGATTGATGTCGAGTCTGTGCGTTTTTTGCAAAAAAGAAAAACACATCAACAACATTACTGTTCTTATACTAAGGTGGCAGCGATAAAAAGGTTGTATTATGGCTTTCATATGAAATTTAACCTTGTATTGAAAAAATATCATGAGTCATTTTAGAAATACGAAAGCAAATATGCACGAAGTCATCTTCTTTGTAGTAAAGTTAAAATTTCAAAAATTCCTTTTTGGATTATAAAACTTCTTGTAGTCAAATAATATAATTAAGTTTTGAGAAATTCCAAAGGTTTAATGAATAGGCTCAGGCAGTTGATACTTGATAATAATCAGTTTATTACAAATGCTTACTTGCTTAGAAACTCTTATAGAGTTTTCTGTTTGCAAGCAATATTTCGACAGAAATGTCACGTATTGGAGCTATCATTTCTCACAAAAATATTCATTTTAAAAAAGTTTTGGTCTTACTATTACCTAAGCTCCTAATGTAAATTTTATTTGAGATCTGAATGCAATTGTACGGCCATCATGTCCGTTATAGTATATAGAGAGTCAATAATGAGCTAATTTATTCAGTTAAGTGCCAAAAGCGTGCAACACATTTCTAGAGATCTTGGGATTCATTTCTATTGTTGACGTAAAGATTCAGGTACTCTATTATCCTCATAGAAACTTTTCCACTGCATGTAATCCACCTCTTCTTCTTCTTCTTCTTCCTCATCTTCATAATCTTTGCTTTTTTTGCGACCTCCTGCATAATCCCTTATGTAGTCGTCACCTTCTTGTCCATCCTCTACATTTTTGCCATCTTCTAGACAAGGGTTCACTGTTTGGCCTCCTCCTGCAAAATACCCCTTATGTTTCGTTTACTTTCCTGATTATCTTGAACTACTTGGCCACCCCACTCGACTGGCCCCAATTTTTGTTACCTCTTTGGCACCCTCCTTTATCCATTACTTTTTTGCCGCTTCCCTGATTATTCTTTACTTTTTGATTATCTCCTTGAGTATTAACGTTACGAGTGTGTCCCTGACCACCTTTGCGATTCCTTGATTTGATTGTGGCAGTCTTGCAAGTAAAATAAGGGGCCACTAATGTGCAGTTAGCTTCGCTCCACGCTCCCCCATTTCGATTCCACGAAGACATATGACCGCTGAATATCTGCAAGAAAAGTGTTCACCTTTACAGTCTTTGCCTGTAGTATAAAATCAACTATAATCGAAAGAAGTAAAGATTGCCTGGACGCAAAACATTCCCTCTTTAGAACTACTTGATGTCAACCAGTTTTGGTAATCCAGCTTTGTGCCATCGGTCCATTCCCAACTTCTCGCACTATCTCGTTTTAAGCCAATCAATGTGTACCCATCGTAGTTTGTGTAATCCTTTAACGATTCCACAATGCCT